AATCAGGCAGCAACGTCGGAGATGCGCCCGCGGGGCGCGGACGTGACCGACAGGGCGAACTGGATTCCACCAGGGGAGTGGGTTCCAAATGCAAGCCCTTCTACGGATCATCCTGATCGGTTGCCATTCATTCCTGCGTTTGCAGCACGCCCAAAGTACCTGCCGCTTTCAGCTCTGGCGGCACCGCCGATGGACCAGCCGTTGTTCCCTGAGTGCTTCGCGGGGGTCAACGACGCTCCCATGATCGGCCAGTCGACCCAGATACAGGCGACGCGGAACATGGGCAGACGAATCCTATCATCTGCAGACGGTGCGTGCACCAGGCACCGACTCGCTCCCTCGCGTGGCTTGCCAGCTTCCACCGGGCGATTCTGAGGCCGAGGTGCAGCGGTCTGCCCCTGTGCTCGACGCACCCATGAAGCACCTGGCCCCTGTCGCTGCGGCGAACTACCCGCGCTCGAGTCATATAGGCGCGCCAGGTACGCCAGCCGCCGCGGCGACCCAGCAGGCTCAGGACATCTCCGACATGCGAAGGAGGTTGGACGAGGTCCTGGCTGCGATCCCCGCCAACAGCTCGGCCACGAGCAACGCAGTGCCATCGTCCTCGTCAGCGGTGGTCACACCTATCCCGCCTCTTCGCGGCGCGGGGGCGCCCGCGGCAACGGCCCCCTCGATCGAACCTGCTGCAGCGGCAGGGCGCGGGGGCGCCTGCTGCTCACACCTGGCCCGACCCGCTTCACGCCCCGTTACGGGGCTGTTTCGAACGGCGGCAGCGGGCGGCAACGGGCGCGAGGCTCCGCCGCAGACCCCGCTCGGTCACGAGCCGCAGTGTCGATTTACCGACAGGATCCAACCGCGTTGTGGATGTGGACCTGGCGGCGGAGACGGAGCGGGCCACGTTCGAGCAGACGACGGCGTTCGCGCTGCAGGGCGCGGATCCGCACCGCCGGCCAGGCCGCGAATGCCCTGCCAGAGCCGCCCAACAGCGCTGCCAGAGCAAATTGGGCGGTAGAGCAGGAGCCTGTGACCGGGGAGGAGCTGCAGGCTTTCCAGTCAAACAGGGGCCCTGCGACCCTGCACCTCGCGCGGAATCAATGCGCCATCCGCGCCGGGGGGCTCCGGCGACAGATGGGCGCGGACACGTGCGCAACATCGACGCTAATCCAACGCGTGCAATCAGCGGGCAAGCTCAAAACGCCGACCCCAGGCTAACCGAGCATGCTCGTAGAAGGCGGCTCGAACGTCAACGTCGCTGGCATCAACGCTGCCAGAGAGTTCGATGGCCTGGCAACGCAACGCGCACACGCGCCGCGCATCGTGGACCTGGCGCACTTTCTCCACGTTAACGGAGTTGGGAGGGGCGCAGCAGCGCGCTGGAAGCTCGGCGCCTTCAAATACGCGCGCCAGCGCCGCCGTCGCAACGGGCCGGTGACTTCCAAGATGATCGGTTCATCGGCAGTATCGCCGAGGGTTCCGGCGAGGGCCCGCCCGTCGTCCTGTGCCCGACCCCTGCGCAGCGCAAGCGGGCGATCATGGTGCTGGAAGAAGGCAAGGGGCGCATCGTCTTTCCCATCATCAACGCCCGCGAGGTGCAGCTGGGAAAAGGCGCGCAGGCATGCGAACCAAAACTTCGAGCAGGCTGCGACGGATACCTATCTAAGTTTGATGAAATGGCGGGCGGGCCAGCATCGGGCGGCAACGCTCTGGCGGGAGAGCACCCCCTAGATCCAGCAGCGCTCGATGGAATGCTTCCGACCATCAGTGAGGAATCTGAGGTGGACATCGAAGCGCGCGTCATGGAGACGCGGTGCGTTGAACAGGATATGAGGAACTATTGAAAACAACCTCGCTAGAAGATTCGGTGCCCACTGAAGTCATCACAGAAAGTCATGCGCTCGTGACTGTGGCCAGTGAAGAGCCAGGACACGTGCGCGACGCAGGCTGTGACCATAGCGGCGACGCTGACGAGACCTCTTTGCATCGCTGAACACGACGAAACATATGACGTGGAGCAGGACGAACATGGTCAGCATGTGGAGCTCTGCTTTACTGCAGACATGGCCAAATTGTCTTGGCGGAGAAGCAGCGCGACGCACTCTGCAACGGCCAGGTCACCACCGCGCGCGTATATGTGTCAGCCGCGGCCAAGAAGCTGCGGTCGTCAAGGAAGACGACCTTCTGGCGAAGGCCGAAGGGCAGGCGAGCATGGCCAAGATATCCAAGGCCTTGTACACATGCTTTCACATTTGGCATGACGACAATTGCTGCAATGAGAAAGAAGGTCGAAGTACCGCGAGCATCGTGACATCTGGATACGGGCACACAGGGAAGTTCGCTCGGAACAAGAAAGGCGATATGGGACGTACCGTAGTCTTCGCCTTGTTTTTTGCGGTAACATGGATGGCGAAGCTTTCGATGTGGAAGTCTTTTCAGGCGCGGTTCGTCGGGCAAGTCAGAGACCGCTCGCATGCGCGGCCGCGTGGAGTAATCCATGGGTCAGCTTCTATAGAAATCGGCAATGCCTTCTTGAAGCGGTCTGACCTATCGGCTGAAACTACTGGAGAAACATAATGCATTGAACGCTTTGCTCTCCCGCCTGGTCAGGATCGATGCTGCGCGCGCTGCCGGGCTTCGCGTCTCGCGACGAATTGAGGCGCTGCTCGCAGTGTCTGAAGCCGGTCGCGGGCGCCAAAGATGCCTTTTGGGCATTTTCGCTGAAACTCAGAGCCATCGCGAGGCGCTTCGGGCTGAAACCTACCTCGTGCGATGAGGGGCTCGAGACAGGCCCAAACCTCCTAACATCCAGGCACATCGATGACGTGAATGCGGCAGGAGTCGACGACGCGATGGACAAATGCGCCATGTGGTAGAAGCCACTTTCGGCGCGCGCAAGCTCGACAAACACGCCTACACCGACTGCGCCGCGCGCTGCGCCGAGACCGAGCGCGTCCGCGCCCACGTTGATCAGGGCGAATACATCAGACACGCTCGCCCCGCACAACGCCGGGAATTCACCGGCGCTGAAGCCGAAGAAGCGGCTGCGATTGCGGTTTTTGATTTGTTCATCAGTATACGCGTTGCGTTATTGATCGCGCAGGCGCGGTGGCTTGCGCATGCGGCCCCGCTACCGCGTGCCCGCGAACCGACCGACCGACATGCGAGCACGAAGACTCAATGCCGCAACGCGCAGGCTGCAACATGTTCCAAATAATAGCATATCAGTTCACGATTCCGACGGGAGACGTGGACCTACATGGCGGCTCCAGTTGTCGCCGCCTGAACGGCGACGTCGACGACGGAGTGGAGGGGCATGGCGTCCGAGGAGCCAACCTCTTATTGCGCGGACAAGCGCCCGACGGCAAGGCAGTAGTACACCTTGTCGACGCGCGCTGCAAATTACGCCGCGTGCAGGTGCATTCCAGCTATTTTGTTGAAATGTTAGCAGCAGCCCATAAACTTGGAATCTGGATACCCTACCACTGCCACGCTACACGAGCTTAGGGCTGGACCACTTACGCCAACACAACTCAAAATTTTCTTAGATATAGATGGCCCAAGCTTAACATTTAATATCACCGCAGAGGCCAGGGCGATCTTCAAGTCCCTGTGGAGCACGGGCCTGAAGAAACCAACCGAGTGCACCTTGTTCAGGGATCCGACAAATAATGGATCGAGGAATCGTTCATGGCGCACAGTGGTGTGGTACTTCATTGACTGTATTCCTGCCACTACTGCATGTAATGGCAGGAATACGGCCAATCGCGTATATGGTAAAGAGGTATACACCGTACAGAGGCAATGAAGCAGCACTGAGCCCTGCCCTATTTAGGGCGCGCGGGTACCATATACGCTGGGCTAAGATATAGCCTGCGGGTGTTCGGACACGAGCATTTGTCAGTTTCAGCCCGGCCACGGGCTATGTTTTGTTTTTGTTTGGATTGCCGCACGCCTTGATGCTTGACAGTTTGGTCCAGCACCCCTGAATCAGGGTTGACTCAGTCTGACCCTTTACCTTGTTAGCATATAAGCTGTATGACTGAATCTTGACGCGGCTCGACGCTCGGCTCCTCTCCTCCTGACTTTACGAAGGTCACAGGGGGCAAAGGTGAGCATGGCGAGCGTTTTGCCTACTTCTTGCGCTATTTGGCTCAGGTAGCGCTGCCCTCTTTGACTGTCTTGCGCCTGCCAGACACTATCGAACCTCACCGTCGGATAAAAACCACATCCACCGATGGCGTTCTTCTTTATCTCATGCCTTGTCTCTTATCTACCCTCATGCCCATCAAGAAGGGATAAACGATAGGATGCCGTGATCCGATTACGACGTCATCCTAAATCGGGTCTCAGCTTACGCCTTCCTGACCTTTGCTTTTTACCAGACCCCCACCCGCTCTGGCGGGGAGAAGGATCCAAGGGACTGGACTTGCCTTCTACTCGATTGCGGCCTCGTTCGACTCATCTCGGGTTGGCGAGCCTGGAGGGCCGACGGTGACCGCCGTGAAAAGAAAGATCAATTGAACACTCGAAGAGCGCCTCCCATGATTACACTGGGCCGACCGACCCCGAACTCCATTCACACACGCCGGCAGTGTTGGCATTTTTGTTTGGGGTGTGGGGTGTGGGTGTGGGGGGTTCGGTGGCTGGGGTGGGCGGGGGAGTGGGGGGGAAGCATTTTCCGCATCTCGAATAGATAGATCAGTGTCGGCCCCTTGGGGCCGTCAGAAATCGATCCAGGATGAACAATTGGCAAAGAGATGCTGGGAGGATTCCTCGGATGGGATGGGTTGTCCAGAGTTGATTTCGAAAGAGGTGAAACTTGATGCATCGAGGATACACGTTTTATAACGCTTCTTGTTTCTTGTTTATTTGAAACCGCAGGGGGCGTCTCGACGCCACGGCTGGATGCACCTCGGTATTCTGATCCGGAGGGAGGAGAAATACTCCCACCGCCATTGCCGCCGAGCTCGCCGCCCCTCCATGCGACGGCGCCCGCTCGGCAGGACGGTCGCGTCAGCGCGCTGGAGACGACTCCGCCCGTGTCGCGCCTCGGGTTCAGGGACAGGGAGGAGCGCGCCGCGGCCCCGCCGTTCCCGTCCACCTCGCTCCTTCCGGCCCCCTCTTGATCCCCCTTCCTCCAGCTGTGGCGTCACCGCGCTAGCTCTGTCCTGCCCCTCTTATATTGCCGCTACTGTGCTGCACCGCTGCCGTCTGACTCAAGACTGCAGTTAGCTCATTCTCTGTATCGAATTTCGAATGCAGAGGCCCGCGTTGAACTGAACGAACACATGAAGTAGAAGTGGAAGTGACCAGAGGGTGGCCAATCCTCCTGAAGTGAAGCATCCCTTAGTTTTCTCCGAAGGCAGCGCCACTTGGGGCCCGTGGTAAAGCCCCCCCTTCCTCCTTCGCCCCCTCCTCGCCCTCGCACTCGCCCTCGCACTCGCACTCGTCGCCTCCTCTACCTTCTCGTCGCTTGTCGCCCTCCTCCTCCCTCTACTTCCTCCTCGCCTTAGTTCAACCCCTACAGAAAGAGCTAGCGGCTTTGGAGCAATTCACACTGAAACGAGGACTGACCTGATGTGTATAGTGCAACTTGCAGGCTCTCGTAACATCCAAACATTATGTCAACATAGAGTCTGGTCCGCAATCATTTGTGCTCGAAGATTTGGGTTCTCGTCTGAAGACGTACGCTGTGGCTGTCGCCAGATGCGCCCGGCCGATGTTGCCCATCGTGTGTCATCTTGTTGTGCAACCTTTCGCGCCCGATGCGCGCCCCGTCACATACACTCCTGTCATACATTTTGCCGCGTCGACGCGCAAGCGTCAATGTTGTGAGGAAAACGTTGATACTGTATTTTTTTGTGATGGGGTAGGGTGGAAGGGTTCGTTTGCAGAGTGGGAGAGTTCAGGAATGAGGAATGAGGATGGGATAGCGAGAGAAATAGGGAGAGGGTGGTGATCCGTGGGAGGTGGGGAGGGCGGAGAGGAATGGAGTGTGGGAGTGTGGGAGAGCAGGGGAGAAGGAAAAGGGGTGAGGGGGGACGGGAGGGAGTCGGACAGGGGCAAGGAGGGGGCTGGCCCTCCTGCTCTGTATATACATACATATATATACATAGGTATGTGTATGTATATATATAGACATTTGTATACATATCTGTCTAACACCAGGGCAAGGAACATATGGAGCCCAACCCCTCCTCCATCTTTCGTCCTTATGAATAAATGTGGTTCTCGCCTCAGCGCCGCGCGCATTCGTCTTAAGAGTTCAGTTCGAGTTGCACGGATGGAGGGCGAGTCGTTTTCAAAGATCTGGTTCTCGTGTAAGCGCCGCGCACACTCGCTTCAAACGTTGGAAGAGCTTCGCAGATGGAGGGCGGCTCCTTTCCCAAATGTGGTTCTCGCCTTAGCGCTGCACAGATTTGTCGTAACAGTTTCAACAGTTTCAAGTTTTTGATGGCTGACGTTACAGAAATGACGACTTTGGATTTTTACGGCGCGAACGATCACGTTGATTCGTTGCGGTGACATCCAGAAATTGCGTTCTGGCGCGATTTCGGATTACCAGGTCGCAACAGTAACGTTGATTCGCGGCGTTGAAGTCCCAGGAATGGTGCTCTGTCGAGGTTGAAGACTCCCAGACGGCTGTTTTCCAACGGGGCTCTTCCCGCAGCTAAGATAGATCTTTCTGGGCGCCTGTGAAGAGGGACTTTGGAGGGAGGGTTTATTGCAACATCGTGCATGATCTGTGGGTTCAAGCTGGTCCTCTTCCACCTCCTCCTTCTCCTCCTCCATCCCTCCTCCTCCTCTTCCTCCTCCTCCTCCTTCCGATCCTCCTCCTCCTCCTCTTCCTCCTCCTCCGCCTCCTCCTCCATTCCGTCTCCTTATAGTAACTCCCCCTTGTCGTTCTCGAGGCCAGTTTTTACGGCGGGCCGGGCGTTTCGCTTGAGACTGGTTCAAATTTTATGGCTTCTGAAATTTAAAAAGTGGCAGCAGCTTCACGGATTGAAGGCTGGTAATTTTTACAATGTGGCTCTCGCCTTAGCGCCGCGCGCATTCGTTTTAACATTTTGCAAGGGCTTCACGGATTTAGGGTGGGTCGTTTTCACATTGTGGCTCTCGCCTTAGCGCCGCGCACATTCGTTAAAGTATGCAAGAGTTTCACGGATTTAGGGCGGGTGGTTTTCAACATGTGGTTTTCGCTTCAGCGCCGCGCACACTCTTAAAACAAATGCAAGAATTCCGCGGGTTGAAGGTGGGTAGTTTTCGAAATGTGGCTCTCGCCTTAGCGCCGCGCACATTCGTTTACAAATGTGCAAGAGCTTCACGGATTGCCGGCGGTTCCTTTTCAAATTGCGGTTCTCGCTTCAGCGCCGCGCACATTCGTTTCAAATTTTGCAAGACTTTCACGGATTGAGGGCGGGTGGTTTTCAAAATGTGGTTCTCGCCTCAGCGCCGCGCGCATTCGTTGTAACATTTTTGCAATAGGCTCACGGGTTTACATGATCAGCGTACCAGAAGTGGTGTTTTGGAAGGATTCAGTACTTTGCGGGCGCAACAGTTATGTTGATTCGTTGCGTTGAACTCCCAAAAATTGCGTTTGGCACGGTTCGGGATCGTCAAGACGCAGCAGTCAGGTTGACACGTGGCGTTGAAATCCCGAAAACAATGTTTTTGCACATTTCAGGTTCTTCAAACTGTTGTCTTCCAGCGAGGCACTTTCCTCAATGGAAATGAACAGTTGTATGTCGGGGCCTATGAAGAGGGAGCTTGGAGGTAGGGTTAATTCCAACATCGTTGATGACTCTTGGGTTTCCACTGGTCCTCTTCCTCCTCGTCCTTCTCCTCCATTTCCTTCCCCTCCTCCTCGTCCTCCTCCTCCTCGTCCTCCTCCCCCTCGTCCTCCCCCTCCTCCTCCTCCTCCACCTCCTCCTTCTCCTTCTTCTTCTCCTCCTCCTCCTCATCATCACCCTCCTCCTTCCTCCTCCCCCCCCTACGTTGATTACTACGACAAAAACCTCGTCCGCCAGTATTTGGACATCGCTGTCGTTACCCCGCACACGCGGGCCTTCCCGGGCAGCGCAGCCTTGCACCGTCAGGGCGCTCTGATTGAGCGAGAGGAAAGCTCCAAGAGACGGAAATATTGAGCCTCACGCCAGTGGCCATGTCACACTTAGGCCGGCTCGGCGGTAACTGTCAGAGCGTCGTCTCGCCTATGGTCCCGATGAGCGCCACAGGTCGATTGCCATCGACGCCTGCTACCAGCGCTTAGCGGCAACGCTGCAGCGCGCCAGCGTCGAAGTGTTGGCGTCCGCGGCGCCCCTGATCCCCTAGCTCTTGGGCCCGCTCGTCTTCCTCCCTCCTCTCCACTCGCCCTTCGCTGGGGACCAGCCTGACTGCAGTGCCACCGCGCCTTTTTTGTCCCCCCCTCCCCCTCCCTTCCCCTCTGCTCCCCCGCTCCTTGCCTCCGGCGGGCGCGCGAGCGCCTAAGGGGGGGGCCCGGTGGCTCGCACCTCCCCGCCGCGCGTCCGTCTTCTCCGCCTTCCGGTTCCCCCTCTGCCCCCTCCTCCCTCCCTCCCCCGGGCCGTTTTTTTTTCGAGGTGCGTCTTGTCGCCGACGTCCAGGCGGGCTGTCGCCCCCCGCCCGGGCGCCGAACAAATAAGACCTGATGGACACACCCGCGGAGTGAGGGTTTTTGAGAGCACCGTTGTAAATTTGCTCGGCCTGGCGCGCATGGACTATCCTCGCACGCCTGACGCCAGTGGACACCCGCCCTAAAGGTGGACGGGTGCTGGGGTCGCGGCAGCAGGAGGAGGAGGAGGAGGTGGAGGAGGAGGAGGAGCAGGAGCAGGAGCAGGAGCAGGAGCAGGAGCAGGAGCAGGAGGAGGCGGCGGAGGAGGAGGAGGGGGTACTTCAGGGGGGGGGGCCTGGCCCAGGGAGGGGGGAATCATCGGTCCGCCAGTCGTCCGCCCACTGCCGATCGGGGGCGCCCAGGCGCCCCGACCTGTCCCGGAACGCCGCGGGCCCCCCCCCCCCAGTGGTGGTCCGTCGCCGATCCATCGGCGACGCATCGCCGATTCCGAGTACAGCGGAGGCCCATGCCAAAAAACATCCTGCACTGCTTGCCTCCAGGGTGCCCTGGCTTTCTGTGGCGTCGATGGTTTTGCGATGGGGGGCGCGACGCTTCCGCGCCAAGAATCAGTGGGCGCCCTGGGGTCTCAGGGTTGGATTTCTTGCGGAAGGTCTCTTGTCAATGGACCGGCCTCTGCTGTAAGTGTCCCCCCTCCGAAGCCGGCGGGCCGCGGACCGCGTCTGGCCGCCTCCCCCCCCCACGGCAGCTCGGGCCGAACAATAGGGGGAAAAACGGGGGGGGGTACGAAATCTGCTGCATGCAGTTGGTTTCGGCCCAGCCGGCGGGCCCATTCCTCGATACATGGGTTCCTCCCGGCGCCGGGACGCGCTGGGAGAATCGTCTACGTGAGCTGATTCTCTGCCCTGCCCTTTGCTATCCCCCCTTTCGTTCCCCCCGAGTAGCGCGCCCCGGCAGGACACGCCCTCGGAGTTTTCCGATTGGAGCGAGCGGGGCGACGGCGGCGAGCGGGGGCCGTCGCGCATCGGCGCCATGGCGCGTGCGGGCGCCCTACAGGACGTTCCCCGGTTGTTGCCACGATCTCCCCTCATGTTCATGTTCGTACTCCTTGTATGTTTCTGTTTTTTTTGTGTCCTGCCCCCGCTCTCCCTCAGTTCTCTCTCCCCCCCTTCCTCCCTCCCGCCCCCCTCCCTCCACCATCCGTCCTCCGCCAGGCTCGTTTCGATCCTTCCGATTCACTTCAAGTCGATCCGATTTCGGTGGCTTCCGATTTCGATTCGATTCGACTTTGGATTCCGATTGGGGCTCCGATTTTTCAAAAACAGGCTTGCTGGCCTGCCGATTTCTGCCGATTCGACTTCTCCCGACTTGGCTGCCGATGTCCGCTGATGCGATTCGTTTCGATCGCCGATCCGACCTGTCGCGTCGATGCTGGGCTCGCCTGGCGCACCCTCCCCCATCCGCCCTCCCTCTGCCGTCTTCCGTCCCCTCCCTCCCTCCCTTCGCCGTTCTCCTCCCTTCTCCCTCCCATCCCATCCTTCACTCCTTGTCTTAAGTCGGGTATGTCCCTGTACAGGAGGAATCTGAAAAAACAGGCAACATAATGTCAGGGGGCGATTGTTTTGAGTATCTGTATTTACTCGTCCGCCTGTAGGAGGACACGCCCGACCAGATCCTTGTCCGTCTCCCCTCCCCTCCTCCCTCCTTCCCATGGCGGGAGGTGGCGGGAGAGGGCGAGGAGGCCTCCCAGAGGCCCATCGGGGTCTCTCTGGCGGCCTCGGGAGTCCTCCGGGGAAGCGGAGGCCCGGAGGTGCGAGGTGGCGGCCCCCCTCTGGGGCCCGGACATTCTCGGGGCGTTTACTCGGCGGCGGGGGGTACACTCCCCCTCTCCCCCGTGCCCCCCCCGTCGGCGAAGGGATCAAGGGAGGGAAGCGGCTTCCCTTCGAGTTCGTTTCGATGTGCAGCGATTCCCCCCGGGCTGGTGACCTTGGAGCGCTCCATTCAGTGACCTCGCAACGCTCTGGGATGCTGGGCTCTGCGCTGGGATTGGGCTCTGCAAGGCTGTCGCGAGGCTTCTCACACACACGCCGACAGTAGGTCGGCGGATGTCCTCTTCGCCCTCTATTTTCCCTCCTGGCGGAGGGGGAGGCTTGCAGTTCGACGGAAGAGGTGCCAACGAAGCCCCCACCTCCCGTCCGTGTCGGTAGGCCCAGACGGACATAATCCATACACGGAGGAAGCGAAAGAGAAGGAAAAGCATGAGCAAGCGGTGCGGTGCTTCACGAGTGCGGAGTCCACCACCGCGGCTTCACGATTTGCAGGCGACGAGCGTGTGGCTTTCCAGACGCTGCCAACCGTGCTGCTAAGATGTGCTCTGCCAGAACGTCGTCCGACCTCGCACATCGTTGCGAGAGGGCATTGAGGTCATACATTTCAGTGTCGAGATCGACTATTCGGGAAAGAGGCTGGTCTGAACGAGGCAGCTTGAATCTCATTGCAGTCATATCCGAGCAGCCCTGGCGACTTCACGTCTTGCTTGCAGAACTGAACCATGCACTTGCGCTTGGCCTCGTCACGGTCGGCGCCCCCTGCGCAGCACGGAGGTTGTCTGTTGCCTCGCTGAAGGCCTGCTGCTTCTGCTCGTTGTCCTCTCCCTCCAGCGCCCCCATGTCGATGTCCTTGACGTCTCCATCTGTGGCATCGATGTGTTCGCCACCAGCGCGCCCACCTCCTGGCTGCTGGCCTGTGGGAGCTTCAGCAGTGCGCCTGGCCTCCTCGGTCGAGCGCTGCAGGCGCTGCAGCGACTCCAGCGCTGCCTTCCCTTCGGCCGACTCGACGACCACCGAGGAGTCCCGCGGACATCGCCTTGAGAAGGTCCTCGAACTCTCGCCGGCGTGGGCCTTGCATGGCATTGCTTGCGCCTGCTCGAGGTCGTCGCGAGCCTTGTCCAAGGACTCGTTGACCGTGGCGAGCTCGACATCCAATGTTTCTTCCTGTCGCTCGAACTCAACGGACCTCGCCTTCATCTTGCCGATCTTGGTCTTGAGGCTCTCCACCTTTCAGTTCGCAGTCTGCGCCGAGGGAGCCTTCTTCTCACTTGTTCCCGTGGCCTTCTTCTCCGCCTCCTCAAATGCTGTGATGGCCGAGCTGTCGACCCCGAGCTTCCTGAGGTAGGCCCGCACATCTTGGCCAGACGTGGTCGTGGTGCTGCTGTCGCTGCCGCCCGCGCTCTTGACCCACGGCGGCGCGCCGCCGCCCCCAGCCTGGCCGCCTCCCGAGAGCCTCGAGACCTGCTGTTGGAGATCCTGAAGCTGCACGAGCAACCTGGCGCTGGCGGTGCCTGGAGGGCCGTTGGCCCACTGCCCCCGGGGCGGCTTGGGCCCAGGCGACGGTTGGCCAGACTTGACAGTACTTGCAGCTTTGCGCGCGGCCTGGATGTCAGCGCCCACCAAACCACCCCAACCCAACCCGAAGGCCCCGATGTGCCCTCCGTTTCCAGTGGCGGGGGTCGGGGAGCATGGGAAACACACACATGAAGCCCGTACCCCCCCCAACCCGAAATCGGAGACTTCGGGTTAGGTTGGGGTGGTCTGGTAGGTAGTCAGGATGGTCTTCTGCGCCGCGGCTCGGCCACACCGGCGACACGAGACTCTCGACGCCCAGCTGCCTGCACAGCCGCACGGGCAGCCCCAGCGGGGCAGGCGCGGCCCAGGCAGCACTTGGCCATCGGACGGTGCCACCAACTGCAGAGAGAGATCCGCCGTGACTGGCGGGTGGCCTCGCAGAGCTCGTGACAGACGACAGACGAGTGGCTCGTAAGCGCCAGCCGCTCTGAATTGTGCGCCTGCAAGCTCAGCCTCAACAGCTGAGCCAGAACGGCTGACGGGGAGGAGGAGGAGGAGGAGGAGGAGGAGGAGGAGGAGGAGGAGGAGGAGGAGGAGGAGGAGGAGGAACGCCCCGCGCGATAAAGAACACGACAACGGCCACGATCACGACGACAATGACGACGATCACGACGACGAGTACCACGAGGACCGTAGCGACCTCAACGGCGACGAGCCCGACAACGACAACGACGACGACGAGGAACACGGCGAACACGACGATCGCGATTCTGATCACGACGGCCACGATCACGACAACGACCGCGTCGACAACGACGACGACCACGACTTCGACAACGGAGACCACGACGACAACTAGCATGACGACCCCGACCCCGACCACGACGACGGCGTCGACATGGCTGTTGTTGTTTTGTGGGGGTGGCTTCGGCCAGGGTTTTGAGCATATGCGCGTGATAGCCGCTTTCGATAATTACGCTGCCTACCTATACGACCACCCTTCGGGTGATAAGGAGGTGAGGGGGGGGAGGGACCAACGTCGCACTCGATCGATCTCACTCTTGATATCACTATCGATCTCACTATCGATCTCACATTCGGTCTCACTATCGATCTCACTATCGATCTCCCATTCGGTCTCACTATCGATTTCACTATCGATATCACAATCGATCTCACATTCGGTCTCACTATCGATCTCACTATCGATCTCACAATTGATCTCACATTCGGTCTCACTATCGATCTCACTATCGATATCACAATCGAACTCACAATCGATCTCACATTCTGTCTCACTATCGATGTCACTATCGATCTCCCATTCGGTCTCACTATCGATTTCACTATCGATATCACAATCGATCTCACATTCGGTCTCACTATCGATCTCACTATCGATCTCACAATCGATCTCAAAATCGGTCTCACCATCGATCTCACTATCGATATCACAATCGATCTCACAATCGATCTCACATTCGGTCTCACTATCGATCGCACTATCGATCTCACAATCGATCTCACAATCAATCTCACATTCGGTCTCACTATCGATTTCACTATCGATATCACACTCGATATCACAATCGATCCCACATTCGGTCTCACTATCGATATCACTATCGATATCACTATCGATCTCATTCGATCGATCTCACAATCGATCTGACTATCGATCTCACTATCGATCTCACTATCGATCTCACTATCGATCTCATATTCGGTCTCACTATCGATCTCACTATCGATCTCGCAATCGATCTCACAATCAATCTCACATTCGGTCTCACTATCGATTTCACTATCGATCTCACAATCGATCTCACAATCGATCTCACATTCGGTCTCACATTCGGTCTCACTACCGATCACAATCGATCTCGCAATCGACGTCATCATCATCATCATCATCATCATCATCATCATCATCATCATCATCATCATCATCATCATCATCATCATCATCATCATCATCATCATCATCATCATCATCATCATCATCATCATCATCATCATCATCATCATCATCATCATCATCATCATCATCATCATCATCATCATCATCATCATCATCATCATCATCATCAATCATGATCGGGACACCGACGGGGACGGGACACCGGCGGGACACCGGCGGGACACCGCGCGCCACCGGCCGCCCGGTGGAGAATCATTTGGTCCGGCCGCGCCTCAGCCACAGAGGACACCACCGGGACACCGGCGGGACACCGCGCGCCACCGGCCGCCCGGTGGAGAATCATTTGGTCCGGCCGCGCCTCAGCCACAGGAGACTTTTCTCTCGCCCGCCCACGCAGCTTCGCCGCGCCCGCACGCACGGCACGCACGAACACGAAACCGAAATCGATTTCCCGGTAGGGGGACTCTCCGTTCCACTTCGATCTCACCCCCTCACCTCCGACTCTCACTCATCATCGCCTTCCCCCTCGTCCACAGCCTCCCTCCCCACACCCTGTGTTTCACAGGCATGCCGTACCCTCTCTCTGGTGCGCTGAGGAGGAGGAGGAGGAGGACGAGCAGGAGGAGGAGGAGGAGGAGGAGGAGGAGGAGGGTGAGGAGGATCGAGGAAGGAGGAAGGAGGAGGAGGAGGAGGAGGAGGAGGAGGAGGAGGAGGAGGAGGAGGGAGGAGGAGGAGGAGGAGGAGGAGGGAGGGAGGAGGAGGAGGAGGAGGAGGAGGAGGAGGAGGAGGAGGATCGAGGACATGTTCAGGAAAACATTTCCTGAGACGGCCGAGGATCCCTGTGGATTGCCCACTGCAGGTGAGGCCTCCGAGTGGCTCTGGGCCCGCCGGGCGCACTCCGCGGGCACCGGTCGCTCGCACGGGAGCGCGGGATGTGCGAGGAGGGAAGGACGATAAACGTCAAGGGAGGAACAGCCACCCGGACCGGACAACTGGCGTTCATTAAACGGCCCTGGGCGTCCACTGAACAGCCTCGCCCTGTTTGATTTCTTCTTTGGGCGCGTTTTCTAAACGGCTTCGCGTGTCGGGGTGGTTATTATCGGGGTGGATTTTCTGCCCTCGAGAGGAATGATCAACGACCACCTCGACCGCGACCACGACGGCGACGCTCACCGCGGCGACGACGCCGTCGACGACAACCACCACCACCACCACCACGACGACGACGGCGACGACGACACCCACGTCGACCACCTCTGCGAAGACCACGTCGACCACGACGACGACGACCCCCCACACGCCGACGGCCCCTCGGCGCAGGAGCGCCCCCACAGCGTCGCGGAGGCGCCCGGAGCGGCCGCGGCGGCGCAGCGCGCGAGCGGCCCAGCGAGGCCGCGGAGCGCCGCCCTGGAGCGCCCTTTTGGCCGCTCCGCGCGCCGCCCCTCGGCGGCTGCACGTGCACGCCGGACGTCTCTCGAGGTTTTCCAGCGCCTTCGCCCCTCTTTGGGGCCTCGCCCGGGGGCCTCCTCCAGGACCGTCCCGAGCGCCTGCTGGAGGCCCGGGCTGCGGCCCGAAAGCCGGAAGGAAGGGCCCTTCGCTGGAGCCCGGCCCCCCGGCCGGCCCGAGGCCCTCGAAGGGCCTTCGGGCGCAGCCGGCGTCGTCGTCATCTTTCTTTTTTTCTTTGCGGGGTGAGGAGCACGAGCGCAGGAGGAGGGTGGAGCAGGAGGGGCAGCAGCAACAAGAGGAGGGGAAGGAGGCGGATGGAGGAGGCGGATGAGGAGGAGGAGGCGGAGGAGGAGGAGGAGGAGGAGGAGGAGGAGGAGGAGGAGGAACACGTGGGAAAAAAACCTTTCCCCGCCCTCTTTCCCTTGCCTTGCTCTGCTCCCCTGCTCCTTTATGTCATCTGTGCCCTTGCCTCCTCAATATCTTATTTTCATATTCCTCATGCTTGTCCTGATCGTCATCCTCATCCTCTGTCCTTGCTCTCCTCCTCCCGCCTCCTCTCTTTCTCCACGTGGTCTCATGAATTACTTCTCCTCCAGCTTTCAGCTTTGGCTTTAACCTCCTCTGCTTCCTGACAACATGATTCGACCTCCTGCTCCTCGCTCCTTCCCCTCCCCACCAACCTCACCAACCTCCCTTCATCACCCTTCTCCGCCTCTTCCAATCTTCCTCCGCTAAATACTCCTTCCTCTGTCCGTCTCCCCAATGTGTGAGGAGAGGGACGCGGGAGCAATGAGGAGGGGAGCGATATTCAATCGAGCAGATGATGTCAAGCATCCAGCGTGAAGCGTGAAGCTCGCTGTTTTTTTTTCACGGTTTCCGGAACAGCTTGCCTGTGAGGGTCTTCTATATGGTTCGTAGGAAAGTCAGGGGACCGTTGTTGGTTACAGAATTGGTTACTTGATCGTCTCCTGTATGCTCTGCAGTTTGCTCTCCCCCACAGTCGGCCCGAGGTATGAGATCGAGGTCGGTTTGGGGAGGGTACCCTGATGTTCTTCGTGCGTCTTGGTCCAGGCTGGCTTCCCGTATGGTATCTTGTGATGCTGCCCCATATGTTCTCCAGGATGGTCTCCCGGCTGGTCCCCCGCAGGGTCTCCCGTGCGTTCCGTATTTCTTCCAGGATGCTCTCCCGTATGGTTTATTGTGTGCTCTCCCGTCGGTTTTCCAGGGTCGTCTCCTGTATGGTCTCCCGAACGGTCTCCCGTCTGGTCTTTCGGAGGGTCTCCAGAGTGGTTCCCCACATGGTTTTCCGTACAGTCTCCGGCATGGTCTCCAGGAGGGTTTTCCCGAATGAGTTCCCGCATGGTCAGTGAATGGTTTTTTTTTTGGATGTTCTCCCGTACGGTGTCTCGTGTGGTCTTCAATCTGGTTTCCTTGATGGTCTCCCGCATGGTCCCCCATTTGGTCTTCCGATTGATCTCCTGTTCGTTCTCCCATATTGTCCTGTTTGGTTTCCCATTGTGTTTTCCGTATTGCCAGCCCTCACGATATCCCGCATGTTTTTTTTGTTTGGAGTCTTGTACGGTCTCCCGCATTTGCAATACATGAGTGTTAGTTTGATGATGCAGTGATGTTGTTAAGGGTACCACCAGGGTTTAACTACACGTACTTTGAGAGCGTATGAAGGCGGGTTTGGAACGGGGGTTCGTTTCTATGGTGGTGCCGCTCGTTTCATGGATTACCACAACATACATTGGGATGGCAACCGCTCGAATACGGGAGTGGCAAAAGCCAAACGGCCAGTCGAGTCGGACGGAAACCAGAGACCAATACCACGAACCAACAGGCGTCAGGGACGGCTCATTTGAGCTATGTGAAGAGGGTCGATTGTTCGGACATCAAGGATAAGTCGCTTCTGTTAGGCCGCGCGTAGGCGCTCCATTTTCCGCGTGGTGTGCCGCGTTGGCTGCCTTTTTCCGCGTGGTGTGCCGCGCTGGCTGCTTTAAGTTTGGAATTTACCGCGTAAGGCCGGTGTGTCCTGTGCAGATATGTGCAGATGACCCGCTTAATTTTCGTCGCTCACTTGAATGTGACCACCGTCGGTCATTGGAAGAAGCTGCGCCAGTACGCGAGGTACGACCGCATTTGTCTGCATTGTCAGAGCCGCTGAGCGGGCCACAGAACGATTGTGTAGCCTCAGCATCCCTAACGAGCCTGTCCTCTGGGCATACTTACCACGTTCGGATCCCGCTGATGTTCTGTACTTTGCCCAGGTTCGACTAACCACGCTATCAAGCGAATTCCAACACGCACTTCAGGTGTCGTCCGTGTGAACCCAAAGGGCCGTTTTGTACGCATTCTTGGTGTCCAATGTTTGTGGTGCACTCTGTGTATCGTGTAGCCTTCATGCTGCACTGCTTAAAGACTGAAGGCGTCAACTCCGTTGCTCGGGCAAACATCTCACGTGCCCGCTTTTAACTCCGTGGCCAAACTCAATTGGCGCAATGACGAAAGGAACTTTACCATGCATATCCATGCCTCGGGCGAGCGGATTATGATGATGGCGGCGTCATCTGCGACGGCGACGACGATGATGATGGTGATGGTGATGGTTGTGGCGATGATGACAAGGGCGACGTCAACGACAATGAGGATGAGGTGGAGGAGAAGAAGGAGGATGACGACGATGATGCTGATGCTGATGCTGATGTTGATGCTTATGCTGCTGCTGCAGCTGCTGATGATGACGCTGATGATTGATGCTGATTATGATGCTGATGATGGTGATGATGATGATCGTGGTGATGGTGATGATGCTGTTGTTGATGATGGTGACGATGGTGACGATGGTGGTGATGGTGGCGACGGCTGTGATGGCGATGGTGATGGCAGTGCGTGCACACATCACCTCCTAATCACACCTGCTGATAGCAAACCACCCTAACTCTGGAGTGGTGCTAGAAAAGAGCTCTAAGACGCGCTGGGCACCAGGCTACCGAGCGGGAAACAGAGCGTTCAAAATGAGGGACGATGAATGCCCTCGCTTTGTGAAAAAGGCTAGAGGGAGCCGCTACGAAACATGCGAGATGCCCAGTGCGGCCGAAAAGGCTGGCACTGGACACAGGAAGCACAGGCGCTGCCAGGCCCGCATGGCGTTGCCCTCAAACGGGTAGCTGGACCGTGCCAGCGCGTTGGACCCGCGCGTATGGCGGGAGCGTGGGGAGCGGATCGGGGCGGGGAGCCATTTGAGGTGCTGGCGGAGGCGGGGGCCTCCAGAGCGAGCACCGACGCGCCCTCCACCGGGGGCCACAAGGGCGAGTGGAGAGACCTGCAGAGGCCTTCACCCACGGGGCCCGCGGCGCCCGGGGCGAACGAAACCACTGCGAGCTGCGCTGGCGGCCACTCCAGAGAGCTCATCCCGCCGCGCAGCGGCCTCCAGGCCGCCCAGACCCCCAGAGCCCGGCGTGGCGCTGCCATATGCCTGGGGGGCAGCTGAATTAGAAACTGTTCAAGCAATTGGAGCAGAGCGGGAGCGCCTGCTCATCCCCTCATTTTGGGGTCACCGCTTTCGACCACTTTGCCTCGCCCGGGAAAAGGGCGACCCGACGCGCCCGAGCTCACGCCATGAAGGGGAGCAGGAGGGTGTGGTCTTCCGCGTCATCATCTCCTAATCATTGAAGGCCGTCGCAGTCTGCTCCACCGCCGCGCGTGCTCTAGTCTCTTCTTCTTGATCGCCGGTGAGGCACTGCTCTCACGCCTTCAGGGCCCCGCGCTCCTGGCGCCCTTCACCTCCCCGTGTACCCATCGTTTGTTCGACGCTTGGGCGGCGGCCAATGGCCCCACGCGTGGGGGCCTGGGCCGCAGGCCGAAGAGGACTTCCAGCCCGGCGCTCCGATTTCTCGGGTTCGGTTGCTCGCTGCTCCCTGGCCTTGGGCTGGCCGGCTCTGCATTTGGCCCGGCGCTCCTGCCATCCTGGTTTTTGTACCATGGCGACGAGTCGTGGGCGCAATGGGTTTCCGCTGTCTCATGTTGGTCCTGCTCGGCGCAGCCCCAGCATGCCAACGCTACGCGTGCGTCGCAGCCCCAGGGGTGACGCGCGCACGGAGATCTCTTACAGTGGATGCTTCGTGGCGGACGCTTTCTAGCCGTGCCGCTCGGGAAACGATATACTACAAGATGCTTGTACTATGTATTCGGGTCGGACGCCCACCGTCACGGAGGACGCATAGTATTAGCATTAGCGTGTCCTTGTGGGCCTCACCTGATGAGCCCCGGCGAGCTGGGCAGGGATCGACGCGCCCAATTTGTTGACTGGCAGCTGGGCGCCTCCTGCGCGGAAGCTGTTATCGACTTTGCAGCGCTAGTCGCTCGATTTGTGTCGAGTTCGGCGGCCCGCCAGCTGGCGGCTGACATCGCGTCCAGGGAGCGCCTCGCGGCCCTTTGCTCCAGGCTTGCCCGCTCTGCAATTCAGGGCGCAGCGACGTGGTTTCCACCTGCGAGGACTGGGGCCTCGCGCCCCGGTTCAGCCACGCGCAGGGGGGGGGGGGGGGGGGCTTCTTAGAAACACCCCTGCTCCTTAGAAGGCGCGGCCTTATCTATAGATGTAAGGCCAGCGCCTTCTGAGAAGCAGCCTCCTTCTAAGGAGCCCCCCCTCCCTCCACCCCCTTGCGCGCGCCGCCAACTGGCCCAGCGAGCGCCGGGCGCTGGCGGCGCTGGAGACCGTCCTGCTCGAGGCGGACAGTTCGCGGCTGCCGTGCCAGAAGGCCCGCGCGCTGCGCCCGCCGACGCCGCCGCCGCTTGCGCGGCGCGCGCGTCGTCGCGAAGATGTCGAACCAGCTGCGGTTGGCTTGGCGCTCGCGTCGGCAACGCGCGCTTCAGGCCGCCGCCTTGCGCTCCCCAGCGGCGGTGCGCTCGTTGGATGGGAGGGGCCGGGCGGCGGCGACGCCGGGTTCCGCAGCGGGGGCATG